CATCTACATAAAGATCAGAAGCAAGGCTTGGATTTAGAAGTATGTAGTGGTCCTTGGTAGAGAAGTTTGGGAGTTTAATAGAACATTCAGGAGACTTTGTGGGGTTGAACGGCTTGAGCCCTGGAAGTAGTGACATTTGATTTTTTATTTTTTTGTTTGTTTTGTTTTGTTTTTTTTTTGAGACAGTATTTCTCTGTGTAGTCTTGGCTGTCCTGGACTCAGCTTTGTAGATCAGGCTGGCCTCAAACTCACAGAGATGTGCCTTCCTCTGTCTCCCCAAGTGCTGGGATTACAGGGGTACACCACATCTCACGGCATAGAACTGACATTTGAGAGGAGGAGCCTATACAGAAGCTGAGCTTGAAATCCTGTAATCAGATCAGAAGAGAATCTCCTTCAAGAAACCAGCGATGGCCAGACAAAATCCCAGCAAGAAGAGGAAATGGCAGAGCCCCACTCCTAACCAAGAAACTGTTTGCAATTGATAGCTGCTAGGAGAGGAAATGTCAGTTTTCTCCAATGGAGTGACTGAGGACATCAACCACACCCCAGACCTCATGTCCACAAGTAATTGGCCAACACAAAACAGCTCCATCTTTCCTTTTCTTCCCTTTCTTTCTTTTCTTCCCTTTTTTCCTTCCTTCCTTCCTTCCTTCCTTCCTTCCTTCCTTCTCTCTCTCTCTCTCTCTCTCTCTCTCTCTCTCTCAAGAAAAAGAAAAAAAATACGAAGTTGGGGCAGGGAAAAAATATGATCAAAATATACTGTATGAAAATTTAAAATAAAAGATTTGTAATATTTTTTAAAAATTATTTTCTTAATGTAGGAATAGTATAAAATGTTCGCCAAACACCCCATCTCTATCCTACAAAGTTTCTCTAATTTGCATTAGTGTGATACATTGTTACAAGTGATGGATGGATATTCATATATTATGTCCACAGTTTGGAGAGTACACTCTTTGTGTTGGACAGTATATTATTTGAAATAAAAATAAAAGAGTAGGATGAGAATTCTGAAGAGGAAAACAGCTTTAGGGAAGTGTATGGAAAGAAGGAAGACTTGTTACAGTATTTGCTAGAGTTGTTCCTGTTTCTTTGTTGAGAGAAGAAGAGCTATAAAAAGTGGGAAATTCATTTTTTTACAAGAAAAGAACCTTTCACTCATGTTCATTGAACACCTTACTACAATTCTATGAGGTTGTAGACCCTGGAGTATAGTGTGAATACAATGGCCAACCTTCCAGTGTTGTGTGCAGAGGACACTGATAGTGAACTCATAACCCAAAAGCAAAATGCCAGAGAGAAACAAGCGTCAAGAAACAGGATTACAGTGAGATGAGAGTTTGAGAAAGAGGAAGTATGGTTCATATTATAGGACAAGAAAAGCCACCTCTGAAGAGGCTGTGAGACTCTAGAATGAAGTAAAAAGGTAGCTGCTGAGAATTGGCCTCTGTGGCCTTTTTCAAAATAATACATGCACTAATACTTTATATAACAGAAGGGCCCCACCCTGGAAGATGGAGTTTTACCATCCCAATAGTTTTCACTGTTATTTATTAAATCAATTTTTATTACTGCATGCCTAAGGGGGTATAACATAATTTGTGTAAAAAATTAGTTTCTTCATTTTAAAGTCTTAACTGCTCTCAAAGTTCACTCTTTTCCCCTCATATAGTCATTATGGTTTGGTCCTTCATCATTCTCCCCAACCAGCTTCAAACCACCTTCCTCCTAGAGACGAACTCTATCACCTTTGTTAGGGGTGGACTCTTTGGGATTAGTCCTCAGGAGTGCTGCCACTAATGGCTGCCATATAGTTTTATTCACTGTGTAGCAGATGTCATAGATTGTCATCTTCTATAATTCTCCTAAACCCTCTGAGGCAGGTATCACCGTGTGACAATCAAGGAACCCTCTGGAAGGGATCTTCTGTATGGAATCACTCTCAGAGGTTGGATTTAAACTGTATTTTGATACTTCAAATTCTTTTCTTTTTTTTAATTTCTGGACCTTTTTGTTTTTAAAAACTTTTATCTATTTTTTTTGTTTACTTTACAGCATGATCACAGCTTCGTTCCTCCTCTCTCCCAACCCCAACCTCACACCCCTACCCCACTTCCTCATCCCTTTATCCTCAGAGAAGGGGAGCCACCCCCCAAGCCCCCATGGGTACCAATTCACCCTGATAAATCAAGTTGCAGCAGGACTAGGTGCACCCTCTCCCAGAGGTCAGATAAGTCAGCTCAGCTATGTGGAAGGAATCTAGAGGCAGACAATGGAGTCAGGGACAGCCGCTGCTCCATTTGTTAGGGGACCCACATGAAGAATAAGCTGCTCATCTGCTCCATATGATATTTCAATATTCTTGATATTTGATAACACCTATAGATTGCTTCATACTTAGTGAAACATAAATGACCTTGTCCAGATTGTGTCGTGAGGGTAAATATGTGATGTCTCAGTTATTTTTTATTCTGGCTGACAATTCAGAGTGCATCATGTCAGGGAAATCAAGGCAGCAGGAGTTTGAAGGCTGGTGGTCACCTGATATCCACATATCAGGAAACAGAGAAGATGAACATAAGCTGGTGCTCACCTTCTCTGTGTTTCTCAGTCCAGGATTCCCTGTCTGTGGAATGGTGCCACCCACAATTAAGATGGATCTTATCCCATCAATTAATGTAATAGGGTAATTTCTCACAGGTGTGCCCTGAGGCCTGTTTCCTAGGTGATTCTGTTAACAGTTGACAATTTACACTAATGATCATAAGAGGTAAAGGAGGGTCCTTTTGGTGATTGAATACCCAAGTTCTTAAACTGTGGGGTTATATAATTGTGTGTGTGGTGGGGCCCACGATATGTGCAGCAGTAAAAAGTTTCTAGGGCCTGGAGAGATGGCACAGTGGTTAAGAATAAATATTGGTCTTGCAGAGCTCTTGAGTTTGGTTCCCAACACCCAGGTCAGGTGGCTATCTTCTTGGAACCCTAGCTCCAGGGGCTTCCAACACCTCTGGCTTCTGTGGGAACCTACAATCACATGCTTATAACCACATAGGATGATGAAAATTCACAATCAAATATGTAATGAATCCAAGGTATTTATGACAGCACCTGCCCATTTGCATGCCAGCCTCCCTGCAGCCATGGTTTCCAACACAACACACTGGCTTTCACACCAGCACTTAATGCAACGTCCCCAGACACTGCCCAGAACACCTTGGCTGAGACTGGAGACTGTTGTGTTACAGTGCTGTCCTTAAGGGTGGTTTTCTGCACTTTTAGAAGCCTAGCGGGTTAGTCACAGAAAACAAAGACTTAATATTTTCCTGTCATTTCTTAGCATGTAAGTATCAAGTTAGTAATCTTTGGATTATGTTATTAGAATGTTTGGTTTTAAAAATTGTTGCTTGGGAAGCTGGGCATGGTGGTGCATGCCTGTAATCCCAGCACTCTGGGAGAATGAGACAGGCAGATCTTTGTGAGTTTGAGGTCAGCCTGGTCTACAAAGTGAGTACAGGATAGCCAAGGCTACACAGAGAAACCCTGTCTCAAATAAAACAAAACAAAACAAAACAAAACAAAAATGTTGCTTGGGGCTGAGTTTGGTGGTACACACCTTTGGTGCCACTGCTTGGAAAGGCAGAGGCAGGCAGATATATGAGAGTTCCCGTCCAACCAAGGTTATTATAGTGAGATCTTATATTTAAAAATAAAATAAATTTATTTTAAAAGTAAAAGGCTTTACAGAAAGATTAGTTCTGGGTTTTGTTTGTTTTGTATTTTAATATATGTCATCAAACTTTTAATTTTTAAACATATTTAAATAATGCCTGTGGATTAATTTTTCAATAGTGTGAACCTGACATTTTTCTATTTTTAAGTGTGCATAATAAAACATTGAAGAATTTGAAATTTTTTCACTACCATAAGACTTCTTGAACTAGAAGGAATCTTTAAGAAGTTCTTCAGGAAGGCCTCTTGTTGTAGAAGCTGTAGTGTGTCACAACGTGCCCCCCAGTAAACCCTTTTGTCCACACTTTTTTGCTTGCAAATGTTCGTTGCAATGACTCGTTCTGGTACAAGGCCTCTGGCTTCTACTGGAACCTCAATGGGACCCTTTAGGATATTCTGTGTTGCCCCATATCATGGAGATCTTGTAGTTTGGATCTGTAGGACCAGGCCATTCATGCACTCCCAGAGTTCACTGATGGCTTAGATGTTGGAGTGGGCCAATTAAAAGCCCCAGATTTGGGCTTGAGAGGTATCTGATTTTCTGATCAACCTGTCAGCTCTCTGGCTCACTTGCCCTCAGGGCTGGCTCACTAGCAACCCGTCCCCCACCCCCACAACCAGGGCCAGCTCTACCTTACTGCCCAGGTGAGATGCAGGGTCTGCTTTCCCAGCTGTTGCAGCTGGCAAGGGACATGGCCAGTTCTTCTCTCATTACCCCAGGGCCAGGTTTCTAGTCTGCCATAGGTGGGGAAGGAGGAGGAAGTCTCTCCCTTGTCCATGCAGCTGCACAGGAAACAGGCCAGAACCCCACCATGGTCTCAGGTGGTATCTCTGGCTACTCACATCAGGCTGTTTCTCACTAGTCTTCAATTCTGCCTCTTCATTGTGCCTACATTCTTCTGGTTGTCTTTCTTTTCCATTTCCCCACCACTTACTTGTTCCTTTTAGTAGCACCTGGGGTCTCTGAGTGTCTGAGTTGTCTCAGGATTGCAATGCCCCACATTATGGCTTTGGGCAAGGGTCATCTTGGGCATGGTCTCCCCACCATCCCCAGGCCTGCATGGTCCCAGATTGGTGGTCGTCTCAGGCTTCCTTCCTGTCTGGGCCTCATGGTGCAGGTCTTGTAAGGGTCCTCTGTCTCAGGCTCACCCAGGGCCCATGGTTCTAGTAAGGGTTCTTTTAGTCTCCAGCTTGCTCCCATCCTGGGAGCCCATTGGGGCCTGCCTGGCGAGGGACTAGAGGTCATCTCAGGCTCACTTTTTTTAGGGAATGTTATGCTACTGATCATTCAGATGTTCATAACATCAGAACATTGAGTGTAGACATGGTCTCTCTCCTCTTTGCCACCTACTGACCCACATGTGACACGTTGCCACACGTGCAATGTCTCTAGGGGCAGGTTCAAATGATTAATTAAGAAAAAAATCCCCCAGAGTTGTGCCCAGCCATTTGGGTTTTAGTTAGTTCCATTGTCGTGACATTGACAATGAAGACTGACCATTGAACTTCTAGAGTCACATGACCTGCAGTGTCTTGAGTTTCTAACTACAGCTGAGGGAAAGACTTCTACCTCTTCCCCAACCTCTCTAGCCTGTATTAATATGCCTTCTCTTACCTTGTGGTCATGATGACACAGACCCAAGAAGTTCAGCGGTAGGTGTCTTCCTTCCACCCACCTACCTCATCCTTGAGCATCCTCTATTGCTCCGGTACATATCTTCCTGCCTCATTTCTTTGTGATGCTGTCCTTAAAGTGGAACTGGGGAGGGAGAAAGGGTTGGGGCAGTTTATAGATTTACTAGCTCCTTGCCTGAGTTGTTTTTCAGAAAGCTTGAAAAGAAAATGCCAATAGTGTGATAATTAGGTCCTGTTTTCTACATTCCTGATAATATTGGGAAGTTGTTTGTTTTACCATGTTATTTTGTGGCACCAAATGTAAATTATGGGATGTTTTGTGTTTTGTTCTGGTGGGTTTTTGTTTTGTTTTGTTTTGTTTTTGGTGGTGTGTTTGGTTTGGTTTGGTATCTATACTTTTTCTTGGATCAGTTCTTTCTATATTAAATGTAATTTTTTTTTGGTGCTGGACTTTTCTGGTTTTTGTTGTTGTTTTGTTTTGTTTTTTTAAAACCATACTTTTTTATTGTTAAGTCAAAGAGGTATCAACTTAAATTTGTTAAGTCTTACAGGGTAGACTTAACAAAACTTCTAAGGAGCATCAAAGAAAGTGAAAATGGAACTAGGCACAGGACAATTATGAATTAATGAACTCAGGAAGGAATAGGAGAAGGAGAACAGTGAGAATGTGCTGAGGATACTAGGGGAGAGGATCTGGTGTTACTTTGATCTCTCCCAAGTGCCCAGGTAAATGAATAATGGGATAAGATTTCTAAACTCCACTATGTGCTTAAGAGTCATCCTCCCCATTTGCGCTGTCTCTGTCATCCTCTCTTTCCTCTGGCTCTTTTTCCTCGTCCTTGAGCATCTCCAGCTGATCACCCCCCATCCTCGTTGTCATCACCATCCAGCAGGTCACCCTCCTCAGCAGAGTCATCCGCACCTGCCTCAGACTCCATCTTTACATTAGTTTCATCCTTCTTCACAGAGGCTCTGTGCTCTGCTCTTCTTCAGACTTTTCGTTCTTCATCTCTGCTGGGGATGAGAAGGATAAGTCTGCTTGTTTGCTTTGTTCTTTTTCAATTTTTTTCCGGGCTTTCCTGCAGAAAATCCACTTTTTGTTTTATCTGAGTCAGCTCCTTCTTAATGGCCTGAAGGTCATCACCTTTCAACTTTCCAGAACTGGAAGAAGATCCCCATTGTCCACTCTTTGAATTGAATCTACTTTTGCCCCTCTGTGAGGTGTTTCCAGACACGCTGGTGTTTAGAAGGCACCACAGCTCGAGCACTAGGAGGAGGAGGAACACGTGCTGGGTAACTGTACATCCTGTCGTAACAATCCCGTTGAAAGTCACAGTCCGAGTCACACGAGGAACTGAGTAGAGGGGGTGGAGAAGGGTGTTGGTACTGACCCGTGTATCTCCACGCAGATCGTTTCACACGTGCTTTTCCTTGATTCACTTTTGGCTCTGCAGCCAGGTTAATATCTAAAACCTGGCCAGCAATCATTCTGCCATCCTCTCCAACTACAGCAGCCCGGGCATTTCTTTCATTGACATACTGGACGAAGGCAAAGCCCCTATGCACAGAGCAACCCACAATTTTCTCATACTTTGAAAAGATGGCCTCCACGTCAGACTTCTTGACCACAAGAGTGTTCAGATTCCCAATGAATCCACAGGAATGAATCGAGGATCTGTCTTGTTGGTAACATTGCTAGCCATCTCCTTTGATGATAAGGTTTCTTACAAAGCTGAAAACAGTAAGTCGAGAGAGAAGAGGCTGCCTCTCCTACTTCTGCTCTGTGTCGAGATACAGCAAGCAGGGAGCACACAACCTGTTCGTTCTCCTCTCTATTTTAATGATTGAAGTTTTAGTATATATGTCTAGATTGATAATACCCTTTGCTTCCTAAACTTAATTTCAGAATTCTTGGCAGTTTTTGAAATAAGTTGAGAATATTGGTTTTTCTGGAATGCTCAAGAAATACATGGTAGGTAGTGGTGGCTGGGAATGATATTTGTCTGAGCCTGATAAGTTGAAGTTGAAAATAAATGAAAAAAGCCCCTGTTAACATAATATAGCTAGAACTATAATGAACCTTAGGGAAGACTATTCTAAGTGTTACCTGCTGTAATTGAGAGCTGTTGCTCTTTCTCAGGGACTGATGGTCATCTTGGCATGAATCTCTTGTTTCCTCATTGCTGACTCTGACTTACTCTTAGAAGAAAGCATCTTGTATGTCCTAGTGGGACTTCCCCTTTCCTGACTGAGCCAGTAGTCTGCCTCCCTGTCCTGCCTGCTTTCCAGCTCGTTACCTCCTTGGCCATGGCAAATGGCAGCACCCTGGTACTTAAGCCACTAGCAGATTGTCTTAAACTTTATTCACTCATGACTCCAGAATGTGTGTGTGTATAAAAGGTGCATAAGTCAAAATTTACTGATAATAAATCATAAGGAGTTTACTTTAGAACATTTTGTTAAATGCATATAATTCTACCTTTTATAAAGATAGAAAGCAAATCTGCATACCAGTGAGATGGATGTACTTGTTTATTTTTACATAAAGGGTTAAATTCCGGCTGAGTATCTAAGACTGAAAGACATAAAGCAGCTTTAGTGTTTTTCAGAGGTGATTTTTTTTTTTGTCTGCATGTATGTTTCTGTATATGCCTGTGTGTGTGTGGTCAGAGGACAAATTTAAATACCAGTTTCTTCCTTCCATCTTGTTTGAGACAAGGTTTCTTTTTGTTTGTTCTGTATATCTCCGTGTATTAATGGTCTGCTATTATATATATGTATATATGTATATGAATATATGTATATATATATACATGTGTATATATGTAGTATGTATTGTACATGCCTATGGGGTGTCTCTTTTTAGTTGTTTGCTACTATGCTTCAGTCTCCAGGCTAGCTGCCCATGAACTTGAGTATTCTCCTTTCTCTGCCTCTTACTTGTCTAGGGGTGCTGGAATTACAGTACATGCCACTGCATCTAGCTTTCACAGGTTCTGAAGATTCAGACTCAGATTGTAGTGTTTACACAGCAAGCACTGCATCCACCAAGCTGTCACCCTATAGGGTGGCCCTTGATCAATATTTTGATTTTATAATGGTTATTGCTGAGAATGCTGCTTCATATAAATGCGTAGTACATGACAGAAATGTTTAGGGCCATTTCAGAAATAATTGGAAATTTTGCTCGAATCACAAGCTAAAATTTACTGCATCACTTTTTTTTATGAAACTAAAGTCAGCAACTCAAGCAGCCATTTAAAAAATCAAATTTCTAATATAATATGATCCAGAGATACTAATTTTATATTTATATGCTGGGAAATGATAATAGGAAAATACTAGTTTTAGTTTTCTGTAATAAAACCATTGTGTTTCGATAGAAGCACTGCACTGTGTAACCTCACAGTTGTTGTCTTCATTAGCATTATGTAGTGTGATGGTATATACAGTGCAAAAAACAAATGTGTACCCTGAACCAAGGCAGCAGTGGAGTCACATGACACAAAACAGACAAATACTGCCAGGAAATCTTGCTTCATTATGCATTTGATTCTAATTTTAGGTTGTTGCAATTCAGACATCCTTTACTGTTGCCATTTTTTTTTTTTTTTAAATCTCAACATTCAGTTATATAACCTTATGTGTCATCATGGCCCATAGCTTAAGAAGCTGTACTCTAAAGAACAATTTTAATTTAAAAAATATCTTTGTGGTAAATTGACAACTGTGATTTCATATATGTGTGTGTGTGTGTGTGTGTGTGTATATGTGTGTATGTGAACTATGAAATGATGATAGGATTTATGAATATATGAATATAATATGGAATAATTAAATCAAGCCAAGGAACATATATCCACCACCTCAGATACTTATCTACTTTTAATTTTAAAGGCCTATTAATGCGTGCACATCACACTGATATGGATGTGATTAATTCTCATGTGATCGTATGCCTCTGGTAACATGTTAGGCAACCTCTAAATCTAGCCAGAAACGGAGATTCCGTGATCCTTCCACTCTGTGTGTGAGGAATGTGAGAGGTGAGAGTAGTTCTTGTAGTTAGGGATGCAGGCAGTCCCCAAAGCAGAGTTTTCTGGACCAGGTTCTTTCCTGTACTGGAAAACCAGTTGCTGGACTATCACACTAAAGAAACATTGTATCAGAAAGGCCATTGTTCCTGGGATGATGGCCTCAGAGCTGAGTAGAATAAAATCAGTCCTTTAAACAAATTGTGAACTGTTAATAACCAAGTAATATATTTCCATGGTTTTAAGACATCTGGTAACATAAGAAAACTTATGGAAGAATACTCTCCTCTGCCAGTATCAACTCCAGTCCCATTCTTAGACAAAATTACTTTAAACCATTGCACTTTCTTTTCTTATTATCTGTATTTCTATTATAATCGATTTGTCTGTGATAAACTTATGTATTATTTTCTTTGCCTAGAAGGATGAAGCTTACCTTTTTGTACCTTCTCATTTCTGTCGAGGAAGTTATACTATTTATATTTATTTCTGCTTTTAGTTATCTGGTAGCTTTGATATGCCAGCGTATTTTATAAATTACCTGATCTCTAAAGAGAATATCTCTTACTTCATCCCAAATGGAATAATAAATTGGGTCTGATGAGAGTTAGTTGTAGACTTAGAAGTCTGGGCATTGTTGAACACTTAATCTAGAGGCAATATAAAATGTTTTGTGTGGGATTTATCATAATCTTTGCATTTTTATGTTTTATAGAAATAAATACCTTCCC